CACACTCTCTCTACACTACACACACACACACACACACACACACACACACACACACACACACACACACACACACACACACACACACACACACACACACACACACACACACACACACACACCACGAGGCAGAGGTCACAGCTGTCCAACACTTCCTCTGCGCGGGAGAGGATATCTGAGCCCAGAGTCTCTCCAAACCAAACCACAGCTGGTCTCAGGAGACCGTGACAACCTTTCTGCTCACACCTGAAACACACACACACTTTTGTCAAGACAAATAACCTCATTGGAAAAGAGCACAGCATGAGAAAAAAAAAAGATGAGTGTGTCTCTTACCTGGGCAGCTGCTGAACAGGGATCTGAGCGTCCTCTGTGTCGGGGTCTGGTGCTCTGAAGAGGCCGATTGGTAGAAAGAAAGGGTGATTACATCAAAATACACCCTTAAAATTCATCCAGGCAAAGCATGTTTCTTTATAATGAGAGCATTGCTAGTACGACGGCTGTCTTTTCAAATGTGTTCCCTTGGTTATTGACACAATAACGACAAAAATATCGGAAGGTATCATAAAAAACACTTGAAAAACTGAGAAAAATAAGTATAGCCTTAAAATGTTATTACTTACATTTATTACATATTCATCGCTTCGATACAGGCGTATGTCCAAATGATCCAAAATATACCATATCAGTTTTAACATGATCTGCTATGATAATTATGTTGAATTGTAGCCCAGTACTTGCGTCATTGTATCCACAAAAAAGACTAAATTGATTGGTCGAACATTTCAGCTTTTAAAAAACACCCATTTTAAATGTCAGATAAGTGACAAGTGACATTTCATTGCGTTCACAGATTTCCCTTTCAACGCCTCATCAGGTGTTATTTAGCTGCTGACATCTGACAGGCTGAAATGGGCCTTTTTTTTTTCCTCTGGCATTTAGTGCTCAAATGATTGTGATTAATATCTCTTCTAACACATGTTTCATATTGTTGAGGAAAACAATCCAATGATCCAAACAACACGAGATAAAGCTCTTACCCTTTGCCCTTCAGAGCACCACAGATGGGGCTATGGTAATTGGCGGCTTCATGACCGCAGCTCATACAGCGTGTTTTAAACAGACTTCCTAGATTAACAAAACAAGAGGCAACAGATCAATGCCGAAACAAATTGACAATGGATTACTCAAAAGACAGCAAATTACCAAACACATTTTTTTAATTAATAGTTTTTACTAATATGTCAACTACAAATGCCACATATGTGTGAGTCCAGCTTCCTCAGTCTATTTATCTTTAAAACCTAAACTATGTTTTTTTCCCTAATTTGTTGACATTTTATGGACTCGTAAACATTATGTCCTTTTTAAAAATAATAACCGGATATATTATTGAGAAAAATCAAGTGAACAGATGGAAGGACAAATAATTATTCTCTTAATTACTTAATTAGCCAATAAAATGTCAGATTACAGTAAATACATGAACATTTGCCAACATTCGAGGGGATCAAATGTCCTTTTTCTTCTGTCAGACAGGAAAAGCAAAAAATCCTCAAAATTTAGAAGTTGAAACCAGTTAAAGCTTGCCATTAGAAATGTTTGCAGTAAAAAAGACATGCATTTTAAGTTAAGCAGTTAGTATAGATTACTGAATCCATGCTGGCATTCGGTGTCTTGAGGGTTTTCTACTTGCCGTGGAGCTCCAGGATATTTTTGGATCCGGCACGGCGGTGGAGCTCGTCAATATTTTGAGTGATGACTGTAACGTTGCGTCCCTGTTTGATCAGTCGCTCCTCACACTCAGCGATGGCCAGGTGGGCGGGGTTGGGATCTTTTGTCAGCATGACCTCACGGCGGTAATGGTAAAACTCCCAAACACGGGAGGGGTTCCTGGAGAAGGCCTCTGGAGTGGCAAGTTGCTTAAACATAAGAATAAACTGAATGTTAATAAAGGTTTAATAGTACTGACAAAAACTGTGTGCTGATCGATCGTCCCTGGGAAAAAATATTCCCACCAAAAGTACTTTAAATTGTTTTTGCTTGTTGAACATTAATGCTAAATAATGGAAAGTCGAAGTTGTGATGTGACAGATTTAAGATTATTGACAACTTTAGAAATTGTACAAAGAATGTCTTCTATATGCTGCAATTTAAGCATGATAGATTGATCTACACAACGTGATGCGGAGGGATAAAAAAAAGTGATAACCTCAGGTGGGCTGTCAGCTGCATAATGGGTAAAAACATTGGGGGCTAGTTGGTCACATATTTGAATAATAGATTACATTTTTTCCCCATGGCTCCAACCCTACTTTTGCCGGTAGTGGACTCAGAAACATAAAAACTGATGGAGGAAATTTCAAATAACAGTTGTAGAGTATGCTCGTTTGCAAATTAATATGCACACTTAGCTAAAAATAATACGGTCTAATACAAGAGTCCTGCATTTAATCAGTCCTTAATGAAGATAATAGTTTTCAGTTTTGGATGAAAAAGAGTTTCAACTTACTGACATAATGATTTGCATTATGACGTTAGGTGTGTCATATATCAATAAGGGAGGGCTAAATAGCAGAAAACACCTATAACTTAATAGTATACTTGCATACCTGTGCTTCCCATTTTCTCCAGTAGCCTCCTGCTCCTCTGAAGGTGGGGACTCCGCTCTCTGCACTCACCCCTGCTCCGGTGAGGATGGCTATATTCTTGGCCTTGGAGAAAGTCTTCCTGAAAGCTGCCAGGTCTGCACAAAACAAGCACAGAAATATAATATATAAATGCAAAACGCACTAAACTACTGTTACATGGATTTGTGGATGACTATATAAATAACACATCAGGATGAGAATGTTAATAAAGACTACCTGAACTGGGTCTGGCCATGTTTTGCATGGTCCTGGGTATTTTCAGGTGGCCATGCAGTTGAGAGTTTATCAAACCTCTGCAGGTGAGCTGGAGCACAATCATTCGGTTTGGCTTCAAAGAAAGACAAGAATGACACTATTCACAATAGAAATTGAGCCTCATATGTTATCAAAATGTACACTTTTGCAATAAACGCTTTCTACTTAAAATCTAGCAAACTTTGACAAACGAGCAATGGGCTATATCAGATATGTCACTTCCGGCTGCCATATTTGTTTGGATTAACACAAATTGTGACTACCGTAAACAACATGTTTGTTGTGCAGCTGCTGTTCCAACTTAATAGAGGATCATTCGGTCAAGCTTGAAATGCATTTAAAACTAATGTAAGTTTCATCAACTGGCCACATGAAGGGCTTCTTCAGAGTTTGGCTAGTTTTATCTTTGACTAAAACATTTGCTTACGTCTGCCAACTCAAATGTACAAACGACCAGTGGCTAGTTTACAGTGAGATGATTTATGCACTCATGAAGGTCAATTTGGCGTTTATAGGGCTAAAAGGGTATCATAAACAAGCATAGGCTATACAGCTAGCCTGCTACTTAATTGTATTATGACAATACGTGTAGCCTACTACATGTCTCAATACTATACGAAAGCAGTCATGCACTAAGCATGGACCCTCCTGAGTCTGTTATTAGCTAGCATTAAGTTATGCTAGCTAAGCTAACAGCCTGTCAGCATGTACAATGGTAGTTAGCTAGCAGGCTAACGGGCTAGCAGTAGTATCCAAGGAAACAGCAAAAGCTTCCCAAGCTTGACAATACGCTGTGAAGACAAAGTGCCGTGCACATGGTTTTATATTTCCCTGAACAAGTTGTGCAACATCCTGTTAGATCTGTAGGTTGCTAACTAACTAGCTACCTGAAGCCAGAACCATCAGCTGGAGGAAGCAGGAACTCAGTCGGTGTTTTGTCAGCAGCTGAAGTTATTGGATTGGTTTGGCTATGAGGGAACGAGCCCATGAGAAGGGACAGCGAGGTAAATAACAACCCACCTCGACAGGAAATGACCAGCAGAGGGAGCATTTGTACCAGAGTCGAACTTAACTGTAGGCCTATGCCTATTTATGTATGGAAGCTGAAAAGTCATGCATTGAAAAGTTCGAAAGTTTAAAGTTAAGGGGAAAAAATAAAAACACTGGCCCATTGTTGTTTATTATACCGTTGTTTTGATTATAACTTTGATATTGTATATGGTAAGGCTTGGCCTGCAGTTGGCTAATCATTGTTATACATTTATCTGAATATTTTTGTTCAATGAATCAGTCAATTATTCTGTCAAATAATAATGATACAATGCTATTCCAAGTTCCCAGGCTCATAATTGACATCAAATTGCTAAAACCTAAAGGTATTATTGAGGCAATAATATAGAACAGAGACAATAAACACATCTAAACATTCAAGAAGCTGACATTTTTTTTGCTTCATTATTGCCATTTTAATCAAACATTCATATTCCTTACATTTCTGTAATTTACTTAATTAATTGTATAATAACATCATATCTCCTATGAGACACACAGAAGAGTTTACATTTTTGTTTTAAATAGTATCAGAACACCTTCATTATCCTGGGGGAAATTGGGTTTTGTGACAGTTGCTCCTTTTTAGAATGAAACAAATACGAATTCAAATCTGAACATGAAGTTCGAGTAATAATGTGCAATGAAATAAAATAGAATCATTATATTCATATAAGCATAAAAAGTCAATGTAAAAACATCCAATAATAAATGAAATAAAAAGAAGTATACAAACATAAGAAGTTAAAGTAAAAAAAGTCCAATAACAAATAGAATACACATGTAACATAAAAAGTTAAAGTGAGCACAATGATTTTTGTGAACGTGTTTTTTGTATATGTTTGTATTTTTGTGTGCTCTTATTTGAAACTTGATCAGGTGGAGCATGTCTTCCTAGACCTAGAGGAAAATAAAAGAGAAAGATGCTCATCCATCCTACCACCTCTCCTTCTCTCTCTCCCCTTCTCCCCCTCCCTCCTCACCCACACAACAGCCCGCCCCCCTCCCACACCGTCTACCCGGGCGGGTGCACGAGTGGCTGCTGCTGCGGCGCCGTCTCTCTCGCAGTCCCGCCGGTCGCCAGTGCACGCTGCCCGGCTGGCCGAACATGGCAGCGGCCCCGGAGGAGGAGGTAGACCGCAGACCGATCCGGAGGGTCCGCTCCAAGAGTGACACGCCTTACATCAACGAGGCGAGGATCTCTCTGCACCTGGAGACAGGTAGGTAGCCACGGATGCTGTTATCTCCTTGTCTGGGTGTGTTAGCAGGGGGGGATAATGTAGGGACTCGATGTGAGACATTGCTTCATCGAGTGTAGTGACAGTTCCCACGCAGCAGCAGCATGACTTTGGGCTTTCATTGTGCAGCTCTGACCGTGTATCTATGGTGTTTAGCTGCACCTTGACGGTAACCCCACTGTGACTCAAGCACTGGGAGATTAGCCGTGAAGAATGTCCCACATAGGCTGGCTTTCATTATGCATGTGTGTTAGGTAGGCTATCTGAAAGCTAATTAACCCTTTATTGGACTATTGATGGCTATTACTCCAACCAGACTCTGCCTTGATCGTCGGCTGCAGTGAAATGCATGCGAACTTGGCCGCCTCTGGCTACTCATTTAAAATGCAGTTGTTGATGGTATTGCATTTTGGATAAAGGGTTACGAATGGCAAGCGAAAATCCTTGCCAAATGTGGTGGCCTTATACAATCCCAGTTTGTGTGCACGCAAACACGGTCAGATAAGTTATTGTTTCCTTTGTTGCCATGGTCACAATGGTACGCTGTCACGAAGCATTGGATGATTGGAATGTATTTACTGCTAGATCTATTCATTAAAGTGTGTTCCTTTTTTTACGTGTATAATAAGATGATCCTGCTATGACAATCCCTCCTTGTCGCTGAGGCAGGTTTCTTTAATATCGCATCAGTGCGGAGCTGTCCACTGCCCCTCGGTGCTGAAAATGCCACCGAGCAGAACACGCGCACAGAACCCGGAGGATCTGCATGGAATCGGTATTCCTCTATTACTGATCATCCATGTTACATATATCAGTGAGGTTTCTCTTTTTTTTTTAATGAGCTACTGCACTTGGATTGTGGTCGACCCTCCCCCAGAATTGGCCGATGTGACAAATCCCAGTCACATGGTAGCCTGGCTGGCTATAGGCTAGACTCGACTACATTTCCCATATCCGGCTGCACTTTTGCTTTACTTAAAATGCCACAAATGTCAAAAAAATAGTTTGCATCTACTCTGTTTTTAGCACTACATTGCAGGTTAATGTGTGCAATATTCAGATTTTATTTAAAGCTACTCTTGTTTTTGCCTGCGCATTTGAGAAGTGTATGAGAAAAAATCGTCTAACATAGATCCTAATGAGCTCAGGAATTTGCTCACATGCTTCCTCCTTTTTTTTTTTTTGCCGGCTTAGACCTTTATGACTCATGGTACAGACCCACCTACTTATAATCTCTCTCACCTGCCCTCTCCTTGGCCTTCAACATTCTCCCTCTCCATTTTGTTTCCTTTAAATGCAGCTCCTAGCAGAGTACCAGAGCCGGCCTGATTTGAGTAACATTATTCTTTCTTGGAGCTTTGTGTCAGGCATGGCTTGAATCGTGTGAAGGAGGTGGTGGTGGTGGTTGGTGGTGGGTGGTGGGGACAACTCTGCTGTGTCAACTCTGCTGTGTCTTGCTCACAGTGCTGCTCCTGGCTACTAGCTGAAAACGGAGGCAGGTTGCTCAAGGCTGATGTGGCATCATGCAGAAAGCAGTGGGCTCTGCCAGCTTTGCTAAGAGAGGGATATTTGCCGTCAAAGCTTCTATTTCATTGCTTTTGGCCTTCCCCCCCCAAAAAAAATATTTTGGTCTAATCTTGCATTTTTCCTTCAGCCATCTGCCCGCCCACTCCCTTGGTTCCCCTTGACTTGTTTGGCTGCTATTGTTTTGCATAAATCCAGCCCACACTTTTCTTAGACGCGTGTCACCATTTATATGTGACACATATCCATGCCATCTTCAGTGTGCATGTGTGTGCTGGTGTTAATATGCATGCTTGCCTGGTGTACGTGTGTGTGGGAGGCTGTTTGCATATGAGTCTTGGATTTAGTAAACAAGAGTAGATCACCAGGCTTTTGGCAGCTCTCTTGAGCTCGACCTTCTTCGGCCACTTTCAGATCCGAACCGTCATGAGATCATTTTACTCCAGTTTGTTTATTTGCCATGAGTGTAAAATAATCACGCTTCTACTTGCTCTTGTTGTACATTAGGCCGTAATTGACCTGATATTTTGTATTACAAACAGCTAGACGAGAATGATTGGACATTTATTAGGCAAGAAGCTGCGAGAAGTTGCATTTGTTAACCTCTCAAACCCACATTTAGTATTCACATTTTCCCTTAAGTGGCTTTGAAAGTAAGAAAAAGAAAAAAGTGATTATTTATCTGCTTGTAACATTATTTCATATGATCTATAATTAGATCTTTAACTTCAAAATACTATGTTTATTTGTCTGCTTTGTACCTACAGTCAACATCTTTTTATTTTCACCTCAACCTCAATTCTCCCTTAACCTTACCAAAAAGAATGTTCTGCCTCAGGTTTTGCAACTGAACGTAACCAGACTCACATACTAACACACAGTATGAATTACTCTCAAAGCAGTCCTTAAAAAGGATTTTAGATGTTTATGGATGGGCTGCCTGATCAGAGGCACTGTCAAATCAAATGAGATTTAGGTAGAGATTGTTAAGCTGCGACAATCTATTTGTATACAAGATGAATGTTTAATTTGTTGGCAAACATTTGCCTACTACCACACAGCATGAGTCTGATTCTCACCTTCCTTCTGGCGCTGTCCTCCACCAAAAAAAGAACCTGTCTCTTTAGCTGTTAGACATTCCACGTTCTCCCCAGAGAGGCTCTAATGTTGTGTGTCCACTGTTTGTTGCCGGGCAGGCACACTGAGTTTTTGAGAGCTTGTTTTCGAATAAAGATATTCTTCCTGTTGTTAAATGTGTTAATGAAAAGAAAACGGCCATTTTATCTGCCCAGAGAACTAACCAACATTTTTAGTTTGTGTACATTGTTACTTTTGCCAATTTAAATAAAATGCACTACTGTATGCTTCTGGTCTTCTTCATCATGTTTTTGTGTGTGAAGCATAATGGACTAAGCTACAACAACATTTGGTTGTGTAACTCTGTGTTGCATAACGGCAATGAATGATCTTAGAGTCCTTGAAAACATCTGCCTGCTTCTAAAAACAAAGCTGATGAGATGGGCTGACTAATGTGAAACCAAAAAGCTCAAAGAGGCTAAAAAGCTCAGTAGTGCTCAAAGGTGGGAGAAAAGTATGCAGTTCATGCCAATTCATGAGACCAGATCCATTTCAAAGGCTGTCTTTTGGCATTCCTGTTGTGCTCCATTGTTTAAAGCAGTCCAGGTCCCAGGCAGCACCGCTCTGCTCCTGCAGTGTAAATCCAGGTCAGCTCAGTTAGAGCTAAGCCCTTCTCACAAAGACCAAGACGCAAGCATTACCACGCTCTCATTCAAACACGGAGAACTCTAATAAAGACCTGAATGAGAGGCAGAGACAGAGGAGGTGGAGGAGGAGCAGGAAGAAGCTAGGGAGGAGGACAGGGTGGAGGATTTTAAATGATGGCAACATGAAGACTGGCACACTGAGGTGTTGTGCTTAGAGTATGGTGGAAACGCTGCACAAACAAACACACCACCTCTCACTATCTGAGTGATACTCTTTTGTCTCTTTCTGATACACATACTTCAACACTGCTTTCTGCATACATAAGCCGAGGCCTTGAGCAGCAGGAAGGTAGGCATACCTGGGCAGAATACAAAAAGGGAAACAGGGAGGACGCTTTAAATTCAGAGGAGTACTTCCTCTCTCGCTGCCACCCAACAAAAACTCCCTCACTCTTCCTCCGCTGGCACACTGCTCAGACAAGCTAACCAT